GAATTCCACTAAAACTACACTGTTCCAGCAGTTCCTCGCATCCAATATCTCGTTTGTTATGGGGGGCATGAATGAAAGGTCCTTGAATGAAAGTGCCAAACTGCAGTTAAAGTCAACAATTTAGGAATGAAACACCCGGAATTACATGAAATGTGGATAGCACGGTGACACGATGACGTTAATCAAACTAGGTGCTATAACACAGTGGTCCCCAACCCCCGGGCCATGGACCTCAGAACCGAGCTGCAAAAGAATTAATTATCTTTAAGTTTGCAGATAAAGTAGCTGCATTTAAAGCCAAACTGGATTTGTGGGGACGGCGCGTGAACAGAGGCATTTTGGACATGTTTCAAACATTAGCTGGGATTTTGTGTGAGACTGAGCCTGCGCCCTCACTCACCAAGCTGGTGCACCAATCAGTCTTCGCTGTTAAAGGAGTTTGAGCGCTACTTCCCAACCTCAAAGGACCCACAAACGGCCAAGGAATGGATACGTGACCCATGTCAACAAACCAGCTGAATCCAGCATGTCCGTGCAAGAAGAAGACCAACTGCAGGAGATCGCAAATGACGGCTGCCTTAAACAGTGCTCGAGACAACAACACTGCCGGTGTTCTGGATTAAAGTCATGGCAGAACACCCAGAGATCACTAACACAGTGCTGAAAACCCTGTTGCCATTTCCAACATCCTATCTGTGTGAAGCGGGGTTTTCTGCAGTGACAGCCACCAAAACAAGGCAAAGGAGTAGACTGGACACAAGCAACACACTTCGGGTGTCAGTAGCCCCCCTTTCACACAGTGATACCAGTAAATATATGGAAAATTTCCAGAATGACTTTACCGGTAAATTCAAAGAGTGCTGTTCACACAGGCGAGGACGTTACGGCATTCACACATCCTTTCCAAAATACCGGTTATTCTGACATCATTAACCAGAAATGAGCTCTAAACGGCTGTGCTTGTATTTGTAAACATTTCACAACATCACAAACTCTGTGGATGGATCAGTATTGTGAACAACTTCGATGAAAACATATAAAGAAACACTTTCGCATGTCAAATTGTACATGATATGTGTGTGTGCTTGCATTCAAGGGCTGTTTCACGGGCACACACAAAGCTTGAAGGTAAACAAACAATGGCTTATTATAAGCATATTATTGATAATTATTTACACGGTTGGCATTAAGATGAACATATAAACGTTATTTGACTAATTTCTAGCAGCTAAATGTGTCTGGAAAAATATTCAAAGGCATTTATTCTCATAAACCGTGCGGACGTGAATGCGTCTGACTGTTCTGATCGGCTAAAGCAGACATCTCACTTCAACACGTTCTAGACGTGCACGCACTCTTTCCGGCAATCTTCCTTCGGCCATTACCCCCAGATGGGACCATCTCGTTGCAAAGAAACAAGCTCAAGGCTCCCATTGATTTAGCGTTACGGACTATTTTTGATGTAATGATATGTTATATTGTTGGAGCAATGTGTTAATAAAGTTATTACTCCCTAATGTCATAATAGCATTGTAATGTTGGAGCAATGTGCTAATAAAGTTCCATATGAGTACACAGTGGATTCACGTTTATTATTATTATAATTATTATTATTATTATTATTTCAACCCCCCGGTCCACAGTAAAATTGTCAAGTGTTGACCGGTCCGCAGTTAGAAAAAGGTTGGGGACCACTGATATTGCCCACCCCTAATTGATATTAACATGGCAGGATTTTATGCGATCCCTATATTGTGGCAAAATGCAATGTCAAGAGACTGACTTGAAAGGGAACGTCTCGGGTTACCTAATGTAACTTCAATTGCCTGAGAGGAGGAAATAAGACATTGCCTGAGTTGATGCTAATAGCTTAGTCGTTGTGAGCTGTGCTCTGCCTCAGTTCAAAGATTATGAGCCAGTGGCACTCAGCGCAGCCTTTATCATATATTTTATATATATTATGCAGCTTTAAATTGCATGAGTCTTTTATACCATTTCAGTGGATTATGACTGGCTGTGATGGTTTAATTCTTTAATAGCTGAGAAAGAACTAGTTCTGAATGTGAGCCCAATGAGACTGTTTCTCTTTATATGGTCATGAAACATTAAAAAAAAATTTTGAGATGTTGACAGTCATATACATGTCCCACGCTGCTAAAAACACTATTAGGACACACGTAATTAGCTAACAAGTGAAAAATTAATTATCTTTGCATTATTTTCAGCAAATTCGTTCTTCCGGTTTAAAAAGAAATTTTAAAATCTGCGTCACGGCAATAAGATCACTGAGTAAATTCCAGCATGGAGACTGGATGTCTGTACCGGCTGGAACAATGTAATGTCATTGAGTTTTCAGCATTAATTAATGAGAAAGACTTGGTTCGAACCAATCAGCGCGCTCTATTGTAGAACAAAAAAAAGCTAAGATTTTTATTTTTTTTATTTTTAACACTGACATTACTACTTTAAGAGGTGAACCGTTAATAACAGCGAGCCAAACCATGTATTATAAGCCCCAGTAAGCAATGCAGAAAAGAAGATGTTTATCCGCTTTTCAGCCATTTATTGCATAGATAAAAGAAAGGAGATATTATAAAGTTAAGATGTAATGTCTTGTTCCTAAAATTAAGGTTTTGCACTAAGTTTACAATAGGTGTAACATTATCTGCTTTTCAAACTCATCCTCTCACTGTTTTCAATGCCACAGAGGTGAGAGGAGTGTTGTGTGTTATGCTTGTGTCATGCTGATGCTTTGAGTCTCTCAGCATGATCCAGATCTTTAATAACTACACCCACGCTGATGTGTGTGCCAGACAGATGGTTCCTGTGGCCTTGTCTTTGAAGCAATGCTGTTGTGGATGGATATGAGCACACTAAATTAATTAACAGGTCACTCAAAATGGAAAATGGAAAACAAAACAAAGAAAAGAAGTTTGACATGTTAAGGATCCAACACAACAAGATGTGATACATAAATTAATAATAAAACATAATATGGTCAACGACAGACCAGATCTACACCCAATATTTCTCATTCTTGTGCAAAATTAAAATTAAATTCTCACCCTCAGGTTACCGGCAACAGTTCTACCTTTTTAGCAAATCACAAAAGAAATGTATTTTTGTTTTTAAAATATATAAAATACTTTTTCAATAACTTTCTGAACATCTTTTAATTTTTTTTTTTACAGCTTTAGACTTTAAACCAGGCCTATTCAATTGGCGGCCCTCCAGATAGTGTGACCAAGACATCAAAAATAAATTTAGTTTAGTCGAAAAACGATTGCTATAGTTATGCAGTGATGTGCATCTGTTTAATACTGCACAAGCTGAAGTTGAAGACTGCGCAGAGCGTGAATCACCCGACATTAAGTGAGTGGCAAGAGCAGCCGAAAACATTTGGATATGTTTGTAGAAAAGGCCTTTTGTACAATGCACTGATATCGTTAAAATGAATGCAACGATTCGTCAATTACACTATTAACCACACTTATATTCATTATGGTTAACTAATTGTAAAGGCTTCTTAACGCTGCGTTTTTGTTGCTCGGAACAAAAATGCTGCAACTAAACAAAGTTATTTCAATACGCACATAACTCTAGCAGCATGTATTAACTATAGCAGCAGGCCATTCACATTTTGCATCTTTTCCGCACGCAAGTTCGCGTGGGTTTCCTCCGGGTGCTCCGTTTTCCCCCACAGTTCAAAGACATGCGGTACAAGTGAATTGGGTAGGCTAAATTTTCCGTAGTGTATGAGTGTGAATGAGTGTGTGTGGATGTTTCCCAGAGATGGGTTGCGGCTAGAAGGGCATCCGCTGTGTGAAAATGTGCTGGATAAGTTGGCGGTTCATTCCGCTGTCGCGACCCCGGATTAATAAAGGGACTAAGCCGAAAAGAAAATAAATGAATGAATTAATGTATGAATGCAGATAATACCAAGTTTATTTCAATTCTTAGCTATTATATAGCTTAAATTAACGTTCGACTAATACTATTTTTCATTTTATTATCTTTTTTTATTGATTGATTGTTTTGTCATTTATTTTCATTGTAAAATTATCACTCATATTTAAATCAAAAACTTTTTTCATTTTTTCATTAGTCCCAAAATAGAAATGGATTATTGTATGTTTTAATAATATTGTGCTGTATTTGGTAACTGAGCAGCAGTAAATAACACTTTAAAAAATAAGCAGTTTTCATGAGATTTTCTAAACTAGTAGTGTTTTAAATTTTATAAATGCATAATAATCATAACTGTGAAACCATGATTATTCTTCAGACTATAATCGTACAACCAAAACCTATAATCATTACATCCCTAATTGTTATACAGTTCAAAACATAACATATGAATGTGTTTGAATGTAGAAGAAGCCTACTTAAGCAATGCACTGCTTTTGTTGTGCTTCAAAATACAACATTTGAATATGTTTGTAAAAAAAAAAGCCACATTGTACATACAGTGATGTTATGTAGTTTCAAAACACAACATATTAACATGTTAAGGTAGAAAGGAGCAAAAATACAACATATAGCTTACAACTTATATTGCTGTTGTGTCATCACTCATATTGCAAGTCAGATCTCTCTGGCCCCTCATTAGGGACACTTTTCAAGAACTGTCCCCCATGACAAACTAATCGAATAGCCCTGGTGTAAACGGCTTTAAAACTTTTTAGTTCTTTACTTTCCCTACAGCTTAAAAGAAACACTCCACTTTTTGGGTGGGAAATAAGCTCATTTTATAAGTCACCAAGAGGTAAACGGTTGTGTTTTACCATTTCTAAATGCATTTAGGTGTCACTTTTATCTAAGCTTAGCATAAATAATTGAATCGAATTGGACCATTAGCACCTTGCTCAAAAATTTTATTTTTTGATAATTTTCCAATTTAAAGCTTGAAACTAAAGAGAGAGAGAGAGAGAGAGAGAGAGAGAGAGAGAGAGAGAGAGAGAGAGAGAGAGAGAGAGAGAGAGAGAGAGCTAAATGTTTACCTTATCTGCACTGTCCTGGTTTCTCCTCTGTCTGCTGATGCGTCTCGGTACCGTCACCTCATATGAAGAGAGCTGAGACGTCTGCTGGGTTACTGAACCTACAAACAGAGACACTTCAGTCACAATATAGTCTACCCATAACAACCAACATGATGAACTACACAAGCAAAGCAAGAAAACCTGCACTGAATCTACCAGCAGTTATGGTCTATTTCTCCATCTATTGCTCCTCTCACTTCAACATGCTTATCTGTAAATAAGCACTTCTACTGTAATCATGGGTAATTAGAGTGAGTGCAGTTGACTGGTTCAAGTGCCAAATGCTCCAGTAATAAAATACTGCAGCGTTGGATATCATGGAGTGAGAAAGACCTCAGGAAGCTGAAGTTTTCCAGCCGCTCCTGACTCATCACTTAGAAAGCTGGATGAGACTTCCTGTGCTGGTTTCCCAAAAAGGATAAAGAGGACATGGGAGAAAGAACATTTCATAATTAGGGTATCCTGCCCTTGACTAAAAAGCTGATTTTCCATGGCCTATAAAGAGCATACAAAAAGGAAAAAATACCTTCAAATTGTATGTTTTTCTGTTGCATATGTTTCAGATATGGTGAAACAAAGTTTGATTGAATTGCTTTATTCACTGCACAGGCCTGATCTTTTCAGTTGGCCTATAACGTTAAACTTTAACCTAATAACATTTATTAAATCTTTAAATAATTATAAATTTACATAAATCTAAGAGTATAATTAGGCTTATGGTTAATATGATAGAGACTTTCAATGTCTGGAATAAATATGTTAAAATTCCATGAAATTCCAGGAATTTCTCTGAGCTGTGGGAACTAGAGATGCGCGGATGGGCTATTATTTCATCCGCAACCGCATAACAAAATTCATCATCCGTCCGCCATCCATCCGCAGTAACATTTTTGACCAATTTTTAAAACCGCACCCGCCCGCCATCTGCTGATTGGGCTCTTTATTTGAATGGCTTATTCCTTTTTATTATTAAATGAATGTTTCTTTATTGCTCATTATAGAATAGAGAACGACTTTAATGTAGACATGCAGTTAATCCAAACGTGCAAGTCATTAATTGACGACGCTTTGAAGTGACGCTAAAGATACGAGGACGTGTCTTTTCACTTGATTCGATTCCTCGGTCCTTCTTTTCCTTGCGTCCTTCCCTCGTACCGTTATCCCGGTGGGGTGGAAACAAGAGGAAAGAAAGCAAGGAAAGGAAACGAGGATGTACAAATAAGAAATGAGAAGCACCCGAGCTCTCAGAATATCAGCAGTGAACTCCGTCTCCAATCGGCGCACAGGGACAAAAGTAAATAAATAGCCTAAATTAAACGCACTGTACTATACAACTTTTTTTTATTGTAGCCTAATAGAAAACGCATTGACACATCATTTGCTATTTAGCCTACTACTAAATGCCTATTTCACTTAATTTTTTAATAAATAGATAGAATAATAAGTCATTTACATTATAGCCTAATAATGTTTACATTTGTAGTTGTCCATAGCAACCCCAAAAACGTACCTGATTGCCTTGCACATCTAATTAATGGGCACAGTTTTTCGACTATTTTTTTATTTATTATTTTTTATTTTTTGCTGTGGATGTTATTGAGCTTGTAGAAATCGGAAAGAACACCATTCTGCGACAAGATGAACCTTTATTGATATTTCTATCAGACAATACCTATTTTATATGCCAAAAGAAACAACAGGCAGTAAAAAAATATTAACATAAATATCTTAATGTAGGCATAGGCTATAGTCGCATGCTTTGGCAAACAGTTGAAAATTTTTTTAATAAAAACGTCATATCGTGCCTTAGCCTTATAGGTTCAGTCACCCCCACAATTAGAAATTAAATTAGAAAAATAGATTTGCCATCCCTCTTTGAGCGAACATAAAGTCTGACCAGGCTAAGTGCATGTATGACAGTGTCAGGATTCAGACGGGAGCGCCTGCATAGCCACTAATGCGCCCTGCTGCACTGAAGGAGCGCTCGCTCGCAGCACTTGTTCCTGAAATGCATATAATTCTCTTGGAAAGGTGCTGCAGTCGTGGGAATGTCTGGCCTTATTTCTCCCTAAAGGAAAGTAGATTTTCCTCTGCTGATCCGTCTATACGGAAGTTTGTAGAGGAATACTTCTGTACTTCATCCAGAATTAGTGTATCCGATTCCTCCTCCCATTCTGTGAAGTCAGTCCTAGGCTTTTTCGTTGGTGCGCCAGCTATGTGTACAAAAACAGTACAACCGCCCGCCACCCGCCCGAATTTAATTAAAATATTATTTTTTCGTAACGTCATCCGCCCGATCCGCGGTTTATCCGCGGAGTCCGCGGCTATAACCGCCAACCGCGCATCTCTAGTGGGAACCCTGCTGCTGAGTCATCATTGGTTAGAAAGCTGGATGAGACTTCCTGTGCTGATTTCCCCAAAAGGATAAAGGGGACATGGGGGAGAACATTTTATGGCGTTTTTTTCCTTGGTTGCTTTACTGAAAATGTAGACAAAATTCTTAGAGAGCCACTTATCTGCATCACCTTCAAGGATTCCCATCATTCTCAGCTCCAAATGAGGCCAGCTGACAGACGGTCACATCAGGCCAGAGCTGCACTGTGATCATAGGCTCTTTACCACTGTATTTGTGGTAAAGTCTAGATATATCTGCGGCTGGAAATTAATGAGAATAATTTTTTATAGTATTACAATAATACAATTACTGTGCAGCAATAATTACTGCCACTTTGAGGACTCATGAGTGTTCCAGTCTAAAAAGGAGGTGTGTTAAGGCGCATTGTTGACGTGTTGCTATTTTCATTCACTCATTCCTTTTCTTTTCAGCTTAGTCCCTTTATTATTCTGAGGTCGCCACAGCTTAATGAATCGCCAACTTTTCCAGCATATTTTTTTACGTAGCGGATGCCCTTATAGCTGCAACCCATCTCTGGAAAACATCCAATTACACTCCAAAATACACTCCCATTCACACTAATACACTACAGACAATTTAGCTTACCCAATTCACCTGTACCGCATGTCTTTGGACTGTGGGGGAACCTGTAGCACCCGGAGGAAACCCACGCGAACGTGGGAGAACAGGCAAACTCCTCACAGAAATGCCAACTGACCAAGTCGAGGCTCGAACAAGCGACCTTCTTTCTGTGAGGCGACAGCATTACTAAAAATAAAGAGGTCGAATGGAGGAGGCTAATTCTTTATCCTTATGCTGCAGATGGTCTGTTTAACTGTTTTCTCACCAGTGAAGCGTTCAGTTTTCCTACTTACAAAGTCCGCCATGTTAATAGCAAATGCAATATGGCATGACAGAACTGACTCTTAAACGTAATGGAAGATGAGACTCTGATTGGTTTAATGCACGTTATGCTCAAAACACACCCATAACTCATTAAAAGAATAAGCACAACCCTGTAAGACCATGTGCCAGGGCGCAAAACGTATTTTTTCGTCCTTAAAATAGCAAAAGTGGATTCGGACTGCCCTTAACGCTTTGTATCATGCACTTTAGACTTTTTCTTTTTCTTTCTTTAGACTGGTACTTAAGGCTCATACACACCGGGACGTTTTTTGTTTGCGTTTATCAAGACATTTTTCCGGATTCAAACCAAAGTGATTTTCACTGGTGTCGAGCAGAAGAGTATGCAAAATCACTCCTTGACGTTAGATGGTGCTACAAAAATTTAAGCTTCTGACAGCCGCTTGTAACACAGAAGAAGGCAAAGTTGACACGCTTGTTGTTATGGATGGTTAAAGTAGCAGCTCCAGCTCTAGCGATAAAGAAATGATTATGGTTCACCAGTGCAATAAGCAGCTCCACGTTCATGTTGCCTCTGGGCATCTTTTTCAATGTGCGGCCGTATTGACAGTTTTGCGCTTGAGCGCCTCCAAGTTCTGTTTACTGTAACTTCAGCAGCTCCATGCACGTGAACAAAAGTGCCAATCTGATTGGTGAAGAAGGCTTTGACGCAGTGCGTCAAAACAAAAAAACGAGCATGAGGCATTTTTTTTAAAAATGACGCTTTAGCGCCTGCCATGTTGTGCGTTGGTGGGCACGATCACATTGGCGCCCTTTATTTAGTCACGAGGCATTAAACATTGACGGAAAACGCGAGCAAAAAAACATCTCGGAGTGCACGGGCCTTTCTACAATGTGGAAGTGTGCTCATTTTTGCAATGGTTTAAGAACTTCAACTTTCATTTGTCTATGGGAGAAATGACAAGGAACAATAAACAACAGAAAACTATCAAACTACTTGCCCTACAAAAAAAGTGTTCATGACTATAAATAAAAAGAAGAATCGACTAAGAAAATTTGCAATTTTTGATGTTTGCAAAATCAAGTGATATTTTTAATGTCTAAAAATCTTGAGCCAAAAAGATTCCAATGGTTGCGCCCACTCGTACGTAAAGATTCCCTGACTTTCAATGTCTGGAATAAATATGTTAAAATTCCATAATATTCCAGAAATTCCATGACCTGTGGGAACCCTGCTAAGTCCTCATTGCTTAGAAAGCTGGATGAGACATCCTGTGCTGATTCCCCAAAAGGATAAAGGGGACATGAGGGAGAACATTTCAAAATGTTTATTTTCTTGGTTCCTTTAATGAAAATGTAGACAAAGTTCTCAGAGAGCCACTTATCTGCATCTGCTTCAAAGATTCCCATCATTCCCAGCTCAAAAGGCTCAATATGTGAGCACTCCGGGCCAGCTGACAGGCTGCACATCAGGCCACAGCTACACTGTGATCACAGGCACTGTGGCATGTCGGATGTTAATAAAAATTATCTATATTATTAGAACAAGAATGTAATGGGTAATTTAATACTTAATATGAATAATAATCTGCATAATTGCTATTTTTACATTACTGTTAGGGTTGGGGTAGGAGTAGATGTTAATAAAAATACAATTTAATGGGTCATTTAATAATACTGTGCACAATTACTGTTTTCTGTTCCTGTGAGGTTTGGGGTAAGAGTAGACGCTAATAAAATACAATTTAATGGGTCATTTAATAAATAATATGAATAATACTCTGTATAATTACTGTTTTT